TAAATGATGAGTGAAAGTTAGCTAAAAACGCAGAAAAAAGAACTGATCATTTATGTGTTAAAAAAGCAGTGGAGTTGCCATTATTTCGTGGGAGGTAGAGGTCACTGACACCATCAGAAAGAATACGTAGGTATTTTTAAGCAAAGGATTGCTGATAGGTAAAATAAATTGCGGTATTTTGAGCAAATGGGAATCTGTTTGGGTTTCTGTTATTGGTGCGAGGTAATTTAGTGGTTATCGGATGGTTTGTGTCTGCAAGGATCTTTTTAAGGATATTAATACATGTCTTTTCAAGTAATCCTTCAATGTTAAAACAAATATTGAGACGGCTCAAGTTGGTTGCATCAACTCCAATGATGTGTAAAGTATTTTTGTGGAAATATTGAATCTCTTTTTTTGCTGCAAGACTGCAAGAGGTAAGAACTGGGGCACTATATATCATGTGGCTAATAGTGTAAGATCTGTAGACTTGTAGTAAGTTGGGCTGAGTGTGTCCAATTTGTTTAAGGTGCTTGCGTAGAAATGGCACTGATTTTATAGTATTGTGCACACAGATTCTCATTGAGCAGGATTCCGAGGTATTTATAACTGAATACAAATTTGAGTTCAGTTTTATTGAGTGTTAGAGATGGTAAAGCATGAGTGTTGAAGCACCGGACATTGATTCTAATGACTTTACATTTTGAGCTGTTCCATTGGCCTCAGACCATCGAGCGACGCCATCAGCAATGGTTTGAGATAAATTGGCATCATCGACATCTCGACTTACTTTATCATAGATAAAGTAAGTCGAGATGTCGTCAGCATACTTTTGAGAATGGTTTCAGGTGGTAGGTAGGTATTTATATCAACAAGATCAAATGCTTTTGCAAAATCGAAGAATATTGCAAAAATTGATTTATTATTATCTTTAACATAACTCCAATCCTCTATAACTTGAACAATAGCGTCCATTGTACTACGGGCTGGAAGGAAACCGAACTGTTTGTTTGAGACCCAGATGTGTTTGGTGTGATGGACGATGAATTTGGTGACAATGCGTTCAAAAACTTTGCATAACGCAGACGTTATAGCAATTGGACGATAGTGATTAGAAGATTTTATAAATTGGTGTTATGTTTGCTGTTTGAGATTTTAGTTTTAGTGTTATGTTCGCTGATTTCCATTGATCAGGGAAATAACTGTTTTCTATTAGACGGTTAAATAGGATATTGAGTGATGGGGTAATTTCTAAGCGAGCAGATTTGAGTAAAATTGGGGAGAGATTGTCAGGTCCTGATGATCCTGTCTTTAGTTTGCTGAATTGGTTGAAAATGTTATTAATGGTAAAAATGGAGGTAATTGGTAGGTCTGCTTGATGGTTGATGAAGAACGAGAGGTTAGGTAGTTTCTTATCGCTCCAAACCTTTTAGAAATGGTCGTTCAATTGGGTTGCTAATGTCTCAGAGATAGAATGAGTGATTTGTTCTTTATTGGAAAGCCTGAAATTTAAATTCGCTAAAAATTTGTTTTACCGGAGAAGAAGTGTCGGTTATAAATACGTTTTCTTTTGGTGATTAGTTTGGAGACTCGATTTGCAAGTACTTTCCACTCAGAATAGTGACCAGAAAAATAAAGTTGCTGACGTTCTTTAATTAAACTCTGAATAAACGGCGTCATCCAAGGTTTAGGGTTGACAAGCGTTGTAGTTCTCAATGGTTGGCAGATGTCTTGAGTATAGAGTACAGAATAATAAAAATTGTTGCAGGCGGCTTGCATTTCATACGGTGAATCAACTGGAGTTTCAAGATCGGTGCATCGTATTAATGTAACAATATCAGCAACTCTACCTGACCGATATGTAACCTTTCGGGGAGCCGTTTGAGTGGTTTTGTAGAGATTGAGTAGGGGCTGACTAACTACAAAAAAGGTAGTCTGAATTTCAAAATCTGGCAAGGGTATTGGATACGTAGCATTTTAAAGCATTACTTAAGATAATGTCCAGAATTGCTGATTTCCGGGTTGGCTGTGAATTAAGGTGAATGATGTGGTGAGAACGGCAAATAAAGTCAGTAGGGCAACCTTTAGATCTCCTGCAAGAAATATAAGTGGTTTGTTGCCAATTGTGCAGCGAGTTATTGCTGGTTTGATGAGTTCTGCAAGTTGATATGATGCTTCACTTTCATAATTACATAACTTCAAATTTTTTGATAAGAGGGCTACCTCTATGACAGTGAATTGCCTCCGGGTCGTGAAATTATTTATCTTATTACACCGGGACTTATTACACAGGAACTAATAAGTTTCAGTATGTATTTTTTTCCGTGTTAATATATATATATATATATATATATATATATATATATATATATATATATATATATATATATATATATATATATATATATAGAGAGAGAGAGAGAGAGAGAGAGAGAGAGAGAGAGAGGCGTAAGGAGGTCGCGAAAGTTGGGGGAGGGGACTGAAAACATATGTTAAAAAGGATAAAGTTTCTCAATTTCGTATGATACAGCGAAATAGATAAAAATGATCTATTTATTCAACTATTTATCACACGCAACGTAATTAATCATTTTTTTAAAGTGATTAGTTATCTTTTGCCAGCACACATTCATTTAAAAAATAGTTTGTATGCGATAGTATCTTGAACTTTTTTTTGGATATACTTTTTCATGGTGATCTTTAATTGTGATTGAGTCATTGCAGACTGGAAAATGATAAGGAATATCATTCCTGTATATATGTATATATATATATATACATATACATATATATATATACATATATGTATATGTATATATATATATACATATATATATATATATATATATATATATATATATATATATATATATATATATATATATATATATATATATATATATATATATAGTATATATATATATATATATATATATATATATATATATATATATATATATATATATATATATATATATATATATATATATATATATATATATATATATATATATATATATATATATATATATATATATATAAGGATGAATTCAAGTTTTTTAATTGATCAATTTATATATCATTAGAAATCCTTTAATATTTACTTCAAAGGACGCAGAGTTATTTATGGTATTTCAAATTCATCAATTCGTTTTTAACAATCTTTTTCTTACCATATTAGCAGTGATGGATGCAAGAATTTTCGGGGGTGGGGGTGGGGGAGGGGGCGTAGATATTGAAATGACCGTTTTTTTTTCTAGTCATTTTTAGGCTCTGGCCCATAAAAAAGCCTCCAAAAACAAAATTAGCCCCGGGCCTGAGAAGCCTTAATCCGCCACTGGGCATTGATATGCATTATTTATCGGTGCTATAAAAGCAAAGATTGTCTATAAAAACACAATAGCTTAATATGTCGAAATTATCGTTTAGGAAATACTGTTGTAGTTTTTAGTTGTGTCTAACTTTAATTGAATTTAAGTATAGTAATAATATAATATTTTGAACTTTTATTAAACTTTGATTTTGAAAAATCAAATTTATAAAATATTGGGTTCAGATTTGCGATTTATAAAATATTGGGTTCAGATTTGCGATTGGTTCTGCCCTTGCCACCTTATTAATATGCCACTATAGAGGCGTATACTTTGACTGCTGCTGATTTAACTTTAAATTATGGGGCCGACGACACCGGAAGGACTAGGGCGTAACAATATGCCCTTCCTCTACTTTTAGTTCTAAAGGACCTTTTTTTTAAAAGAAATTTCTAGATATAGAGGTCTTTTTTTAGAAATTGACGATTGTGCCCCTCCACTTCGTAACCCTTGTCTGTCCTGAATTATATTGCTTTTTTCAAAATTTTTTTAAAAATTATTTTACATTAAAAAATTATTTTTTAACCTATTTTTGAGCGCGCCACTTTTTTGTTGTTTGGGATTTAAAAAAAAATCACGCTTTAATCACGTTAAAACGTGATCACGTTAAAAATACAAGCGATAATTAAATCCTTTTACGTGTTATATTGAATTGCTTTACTATTTAACTTATTGTTAAATTGGATTAATATATATATTATAATCTTTATGTTAATAGTTTTATACCAACAATTCTTAAATAAGTTCAAAATTATTTAAATATTATTTAATCGTATTGTTTTTTTTTTGTATTGTTATTAGTTTTTTGAATACAATCTTTTATTTTTATTCATAAAAACTGACGAAAATTAACCCAAAATAGTTATAAAAACGTAAAAAATAGTATTGAACAATTTAAAAATTTTTCAGCTAAAAAAAATACGACAATTTTGATTGTAAAAATACAAGGAAATAAAAAATTTTATTTAGTATTTTACTAACCAAATATAACCCATAGTATTTTACTAGGCAAATATAACTCACTATTATTTTTTTTATTTTAGGTTATTAGTTTATTTTAGATATTAGTTAATTAACTTTTAGTAATAGTTTATTTATAATCTTAGTCACATAATACACTGTAGATTGGCGTCATTACTTTTCATTCAAGGTTTACTCATTTTTTTTCAGCTATGTTAAATTATCCCATCATCCATGCTATGCGCATTTTACTGTCCCTATCATGTGTCAAAAAATTTACTTTAAATTATGCATATATACTACATGTGCATAACTATATAATATAGTATATATATACATACATACATATATATATATATATATATATATATATATATATATATATATATATATATATATATATATATATATATATGTATACTATATGTGCATAACTATGTAATATATATATATATATATATATATATATATATAATATATATATATATATATATATATAATATATATATATATATATATATATATATATATATATATATATATATATATATATATATATATATATATATATATATATACATATATATATATACTTATATTTAAAATAAATATTTTTTTTAGCAGTTTTTGATAGCTTACATAGTTATAAAAATACTATTAGAAAGAGAAAATACTGATTATGACCGACAAAATTAAGAAGAAAGAAAAAGTGATATATGGACACTTGTTTGCACTGGGGTATTTTTAAAATTTATTTAAATAAAACTATTGTTGTTAATGTTGTTGTTTTTATTATTTTGTCCTTAATTTACAACAGAAAAATCTACAAATTTGGGAAAGTAACAAATTTTCATGGTAAATTAAAAACAAGTTTGATCATAATTGAAACAGTTGATAAAGTCTTAAGAAACAAAGATAAGTAAAAAAAATTTTCCAGGTTATTTTTCAGGATGTTTATATAAACAATACTTGGCTCATTTGCATTTACAATAATAAGATCAGGGCATAATCTTTTACATTTAGCTGGTTTACAGGTCAAGAAAACAATGCAGTTGTGGTGTAGAGGCAGAGTACTTGCTTCATAATCAAGAGGTACAGAGTACTATATCCCTGGAAGTACGGTTTTTAGGTGCACAGTAGTTCAGTAAAAAAAATAATAATCTTTAACTGATATGTTTGTTAAGGGTGTCCTTTGGAGTTATAGTGTTGAAAAAATAAAATATAATTAAAAAAAAAATAAAAAATCTGTAACCTCCAGTTGTTTAATAGTAATGTTTGTAAAATCTTTAATATATTATATGCATTTTTTTCCATGCAGTCTCATTTTTTTTGAGACTCAGCATCAATTTCTTTTATTTATAAAAGCTTTTTATTTCTATACTATAGTTGAAAAAACTCAGAGTTTTTTCTGTCACCTCATTTAAGTTTAAATAAGAGATTTTAATTTTGTTGCATTCATATTTTTACAAAATATTTTGAAAAACCTTTTTAAATGTTATTTTTTTATCTATAACCTTTATACATTAAGCATCTATTACTGATATGTACATCAGTGGGTTCATCTAGTGCAATAGTATAACTTGCAAACTCTTTAATTTCAAAAATAATTATTTGGCTAGAGAAAAGATATGTTGATATAAAAATAAAACCTTGAATTGTTCTTGAAAATTAATAAAAATTAATAATAAATAAAAATTGATGAGAACCTTTATGAAAATAAAAATCTTATTTCCTTTTCTGTCGAAATTATCTTTATCAATATGTTTACTACGTTTCATAGTAAATGTTGCTTTAATTTTAAAGGCATTGTTGATTTGCTGCTAATACAGTTAATTATACACTCATCGAAATTTCTATAGCTCCACTTACAATTTGTACATGTAAATAAATTCACGAAGTATTTGCATTTTTTTTTTGTTTATTACAGGAATTATTAGGAATAAAATAAATAAGCAAATAATATTTTAATAGAAAATAATTATTAATTTATTTCGTAAAACTTAAAAGTTGGAAATATTTCAAAAAAACAGGCGCAATTTCTTTAGTTCCATCAAAGGTAATCCTTTATAATTTTTGTTCTAGATAATAATTTTTAAATTAGTTTGGATTTTAATAATGTGTGCTACCACCTTGCACACTATTTAATTCAAAGATTCAGTTTTTTATACTTTTTATAAGATTTTACAAACAAACCTTTGAAATACCATTTCATGCTTGTTGGATAGATGTTTTATGTTCTTGTATAGTATTATACTGAGAATTTCCATATATAGTTCGCGCTAATATTCCCCATAAATTTTTAATAGGATTCCAGTCAAGTGATGACAAATGATGGCCAATCCAAAACTTATATTTTTTTCCTGGAACCATTTTTTTACAATTAACTTGATGGAAAATCCAGTTCTCAGTAGGTAAACCTTCACTAAACTCTATTAAAACATCTTCTAAAAGATCTACATAATTTCTTGCAATCATTTTTGTTGTAATAAAACATATTGGAATTTTACAGTGGAAACAAAATGCAGCCCACACCATAACTGTCCCTCCTCCGAAGTTACGACTCATAGCTATGCTATCTTTTTTTTCAAATCATGCCAATAAAACCATCAGGCCCATCTAAATTAAACTTTTTTTGTTGGAAAAAATAACATTTTACCATTCTGTATCCCAGGTCATGTGGTCCTTTGCAAACTTAAATCTTGCGCTTTTTTGTTTTTTTGTTTTGTGATCATTCTTTTCTATTGGAATTATCCTGATTTTAACAAAATTTGTTGGACACATCTTGTATTCACAGGTTGTTCAAGTTGAGTCTTTATTTGTCTTGCTGTTCGTACTCTGGATGGTGCCAAACACAAAATGGAAGAATGTTGCCTTTTGGTTGTTTTTTATTTCTGCCCTTAAAGTGATTTTTGTAGTAATTTTTACCTATTAAAGTTTATAAAATTGTTCACTGCATGATGAGACCTTTTGATTTTCTTTGCAATTTGATGATTGGACAAACCCATATCTTTGTAAGCAACAATTTTTGTATTTTCTTCCTCATTTAACACTTTTCCGCGTGGCATTGTAATAATTAAATAATAAATCTTAATTAAAAATACACAAAACTTTCATATACAACAAACACATAAAAAATTTTATTTAAACTTCAATTAACTCTTATTAAGTGTTCAAAAAAAACTAATGGAACTGTGGAAATTTTGCCAGTATAAATACCAATTTCAAAAAGATTCATGAAAATTTAGTTTCAATTGTTTTAGAATATGCATTTGTCTGCAATAGGTCTAATTAAGAAAATTTTTGTGGTTAATTTTATAAATGTGTTCCGAATAAAATCTGCAATAACTACATGGAACTATAGAAATTTCACTGAGTGTATTTATTATGTACATGGTGGTGTAATTAACTCAATTTCATTCAAGAGTAAGTTCTCTTTCTGGTTGCTATTTTATTTATTTATTTAATAACTGTGTATATGTACAATGACAATGTATGGAGCCTTGTTGATCTAGGCTTTAACAGCCAATTTATGTTAAAAATAAGTCCAACTTTGATTTAAATTGTTTAAGTGTTTTAGAATCTACAATGTTTTGATCTAAGTTATTCTAGCTGTTAATAACACGGTTTGTTAAGAAATAGTACCTCTTAGGATTTTTAGTTAATTGTCTATGAAACCTCATATTGTGACCTCTCGTATATGAAACCTCATATTGTGACCTCTCGTATATGAAACCTCATATTGTGACCTCTCGTATATGAAACCTCATATTGTGACCTCTTGTATATGAAACCTCATATTGTGACCTCTTGTATATGAAACCTCATATTGTGACCTCTCGTATATGAAACCTCATATTGTGACCTCTCGTATATGAAACCTCATATTGTGACCTCTCGTATTTGAAGCTATTAAATCTGGTGGTTATTCCAATGTTAAATTATCTATTTTTTTACTATTTGGTAAAGTTGGATTAGGTTATTACGTTCGCGTCTTCTAATTTTCTTTGTTTTTTTTAATTTTGATCAATTTTTATTTTAGTTCTCTGAAAATTGGTCACGACATTAAACTGATCTTAATTTAAGACAGCTTACTCTCTTTAGTCTCATCTTCCCAAATAATCAATTTAATTTCGTTTGATGAAAGCAACTTACTTTAAAGAAGAAAAATGCTACTGTGGCTAATGGCTAACTGTTATATTAGTTTATTGTTATACTTGTTATGATGGTTGTTAATGATGTAATTTATTACTGCTAGTCTTGAACTATTTTTTTATATAACTATCCCCTTGAGAATTTTTGCAATCTGTATAAATTGTAAATAAACTTTGAAAGAGGAACAGAGTTTCTTTTTATGACAACTTTGTTAACGTTTTTTTTTTTCTCAGAACAAAAAACGTAAGATAGTTCACTTTATATGAGCAACTTGGAGAGAACCAAAAAACCTCCACTGTGGATATTGAAAAGGCTATTAGATGCATTTGCAGTCAATAATTTTAAAGCCTATGAGCAGTTCAGAGGTAGGAAATGGAATAAAGGCGAATCCATTGATGTCTATTTTGCCAGTTTATGCCAATTTAGGGGGCTGTCCAATAATGAAAGCAAAGAATTATTGCAAAATTATTATGCCTAAACCTTTTTTATAAAAAAATGTTGTCGTCTGAATGATATGGAATTAAGGATATTGAAAAATTCTAAAACATCTTGGTTCTGTATTTCATGCAGAAAGTATATTTTTAAACAACATATCATCTTTTCCAAATGCCATAAAGTCTAATCTTTATAATGAACTTAATTTCCCATCAACCTAATTACAACAATGACAATAACGTAAACCTCGAAGAAAACCTTATTAATTGTAAATATATGGACATAATATGTTTTAACTCTGTCAACATTGACAAAAATAATTTTTCTCTTTTTCATTTAAATGTTGCTTCTCTTGTTAAAAATTTTGACGAATTAAACTCACTTTTATCTCTTATTAACCATGAATTCAGTATTGATGGCATAGCTGAAACTAAACTAAAAATTTAGATCTTACCAGCTATCCCATTAAATCTTACCGGTTATGTTTATGAGCACATTCAAACAAAATCTTATTTTGGAGGAGCCTTACTTTATATCTAATACATTAACTTACAACCCTTGAAATGATCTTAATATGCTTAAACCAAAGTTTTTCTTTTTTTATCTGCAATAGTATTTTTGGCATTTCTATAGTTCTGTAGTTTTGTAGTGATTAATGTGCATGTTGACGTTGTTTCCAAAGCAAATTTTGTGCTGACCTAAACTTATTTTAGGTCAGCACAAAATTTTGAAACATGGTTTGAAAAATCAACTAATGTGCAAAAGTTTTGCATAAAATTAACAAAAAAACAAACATTAAGTTCCCTAACTTTTCTTTCAAACGTTGATGTTTGCTTAAAAAATTTAGTTTTGATTTTATTCTTAAGTATTTTATTTTAAATTAATACAAAGTTTGTATTTATTTTTAATTTAATTGTTTGTTAAAGAAAACATTCTTTATTCTGTTTTTATTTTCTCTTTAAAATTTAAAAAAAAAGTTCTTATTTAGAACTTTTAAAAGTTATTTTTATTTAGAAATTAATTAAAGCGTTCAGTTTAATGTTTTTATTTTAACTATTTTATTAGGAATTTGAATGAAAAATGCTTTTTTACGTGTTTTTTTGTATTATTTAATTTAAAATATAATCAAAATGTTGATTTTTTTAATTTGA